AATAATAATAATAATAATAATTATTATTATTATTATTATTATTATTATTATTCCCCCAGTGAGGCACAACCTTGATATGGTTGTAGGACTTGCATGCTCCACGGAGGATGAGAGCTATGCCAGAGGTTCAACCATACTGGACAGGTCTCATCAGAGGAGCCAGACAAAGAGTGTCTCTCCCATAAACAATATAGTGAGACGTAATTTACAGAAACTTATACCAGATAGGTTGTTGACCAGGTCAATGAGGACTGCGCTAGTTGTTCTAGTTTCTAGACAACTGGTGACAAGTGGGCTACAGGACTCAGGACTGTTGGTGAGAAACCAGGGCCAGCAGGTCGCAAATATATGAAGACTGAAAACAAAGAAATAATGATCTACCTAGTACACCATGAAGGCTTACTGGATACTGAAGAGACCAAACTGGCCTACAAGAAAGACCAAACGAAGAATAGAAAAGAGACATGGCAAGGCAAAGTGTTACATGGCCAGCACACACACACACACACACACACACACACTAGTAGGCAAAGCAGATAACAACAAGACCTGGCAATGGCTAAGAGCAGGAAAGTTGAAGAAAGAGACAGAGAGACTAATTCTAGTTGCACAAGACCAAGCCTTAAGAACAAATGGATAGAAATGCAGAATTGAGAAGACAGCAACAGATAGCAAATGCTGCCTCTGCAAAGAAGCTGAAGAAGCAGTGGACCACCTAGTTAACTGCTACAAGAAGATCGCACAGGCTGACTACAAGCAATGGCATGACAGAGTAGCAATAACTGTGCATTGGAATATCTGCAAGAAATACCATTTGCCTTCAAGCAAGAACTGGTGGGACCACCAAACAGAAAAAGTAATGGAAAATGAAGAAGCTAAAATGCTCTGGGAATTTAGAATTCAAACAGACAAGCACCTGCCACATAACACTCCAGATTTAACAATTGTTGATAAGAAAGACAAAAAAGTCTGGATAACGGACATTGTAATATCTGGAAAATGCAGAATAGAAGAGAAAGAACTGGAGAAACTCACAAAATACAAAGACCTGCAAATAGAAATAGAACAACTGTGGCAAAAGAAAGCAGAGATAATACCAATAGTAATAGGCAGCTTGGGTGCAATCCCAAAACATCTGGAGCACCAATTGAAGACCATTAACACTGACAAAATCACCATCAGTCAATTGCAAAAGACAGCTTTACTTGGAACAGCTTACATC